GGCTAGTGTACTATCCGAGCTCGAGCTCGGCATCTCAGTGCAGAGTGACCTCGGACACGCGCTAGGCCACGTCAGCCCTACACCCAAATAGGTCATAAACTGATCTCGGGCCCAAGGCCCAACGAAACCCTAATCCACACAAAGGTACGTGCATTATTTATACGAGACTCACACTCCCACAAACACTAACTTTAGCATCGAAGTCTCTTTTGCAGGTACCACCCCCATCTTGGAACACCAACGTACCAGCGAAGGAGGTTCACCAATCTTACTCGGCAGATCATCTCTACAGCAGATCTCCGGTAAGAACATTTGGCGCCCACTGTGGGGCCCATCAAGACAGCTCTTATCGGCCACGCTTATGGTATTCACCAGAAGCCATAGTAGACGCGCAACAGATGACGCAGATCACACAACTACCATGGATAACGAAGCCAAATTGAGGAGACTGATCGACCAGGTCGAACAGATGCGGCAACAACACGCTGTCGATCTACAAAGTATGCGTGCCAAGCACGAAACTGACCTAGCGACAATGCGTACCGCTAATGAAGCTGACCTAGCGGCACTGCATGCCGAGAACGAGCGTATTCGCGCTCAACTCCCTCGGCATCACTCGGATCAACCCCCTCTACAGAGCAACCTGAATGAGGACGGAGGGCACTCGGTTTCTCAACCACCAACAGCGGCTAGGGCATCGACTCCCAACCCTGCCACACATCGGTCCCACACACCGACGAACAGGTCGACGCATGAAGTCAGCAACGCCCCCGCCCACGGCACGGGGAATCAGACAACCTTCTGCCGTCGCCCTTTCGTGGACGCCATCATGGAGACACCTCTCCTTCTTGGGTGGAAGCCTTTCCCCCTCGACCGTTACGACGGCACAACAGACCCGGACGAGCACATCGATCTATACACCACACAGGTAAACCTCTATACTAATGAGGATGATATACTATGGAGGGTTTTTCCGACCTCGCTCAAGGGGGCTGCACTCAATTGGTACACCCAGCTCCCCGCTGAGTCAATCGACAGTTTCAGCACTCTTGTCAGGCGATTCACGGTGCAATATGCAACGAGTCGACCTCATCACATCACGTCAGCCGCCCTGGCCAGTCTCAAATAGAACGACGACGAGCCACTTCGGGCGTTCATGGCACGATTTGCCGCCACCTCGGTTAAGATCAGAAATCTGAATCCTGAGGTCGCACTGCACTCCATGCTCATGGCTTTGAAGCCAGAACCTTTCGTCGACAGCCTTTGCCGACGACCTCCTCCCGACATGGACGAGCTTCGAGCTCGCGCTGCTGGGTACATCCAGATGGAGGAGCATGCCGAGTTCCGCAAGGCAATTCGCGACAAACCACAAGGAAAGCAAGACCAAGGTCAGGCCACGAACATTTAAAGTTGGCGACCTTGTTTGGCGATTACGGGGAGAAGCAAGAACCGACCCCTCCAAAGGAAAATTTGGAACTTGGAATTCCACCCACCTCAACTTTTATTTCTCTTAACTTGTAAATTCAGGTGATGTACTCTTTTTCCTCCTCAGCCTTTTTTCCCACTAAAGAAAAAGGGTTTTTGGCCAAGGAAGGTTTTAACGAGGCACACCTCAGAAATAAATCAACAAAGCAACTTCATTCCCATACATTTTCGGTATTGGCACATTAACAATGACGAGTTGCCAAGGTCGAGTTCGAACCTTGATGTTAAAGTCGGGTTCAAAACTTCAAATACAAATTACGTTGCCAAGGTCGAATCCGAACCTTAATGTCAAGGTCGAGTTCGAACCTTGAGATCACATTTTCTTAACCAAGGTCGAGTTCGAACCTTGATATGCCAAGGTCGAGTCCGAACCTTGAGATCACATCTACTTAACAAGGTCAAATTTGAACCTTCAAACAACAAATTTGGGAGCTCCTCAAAAGCCCCTTTGCTCTTACATCACTCGGTGCTTGGGGGGCAAGTGTACTGGTCAGCCGAGTTGCCAACTTGTCCCTCACCAATCTGCTGACTCGGTCAAAGGTTTACCAGCCTAACCAAGCAGTAAACTCATGAGTGTCGAGTTCCTTAGCTCGGCCATGAAACATGGACATCAGCCCAAAGAGGCCACGTCATCAAAATACAATCTTGTCACCGCGCCGCAATCACAAGGTAAAACCCTAACAATGTTAATGTGCCAGTAGACAATAAAAACCCTAATATCACCAAGGTACGTCTGCTATACATACGAGACATCGACACATGGCAGTACGGCAGAGAAGCATATGCGAAGGGGCACGACCCCCTACCCAGCCCGGCATTAACTCCTTGACCCACGGTCTTCGGAGCTCGAGGGGCTAGTGTGCTATCCGAGCTCGAGCTCGGCATCTCAGCGCAAAGTGACCTCGGACACGTGCAAGGCCACGTCAGCCCTATCAGCCCTACACCCAAATAGGTCATAAACTGATCTCGGGCCCAAGGCCCAACGAAACCCTAATCCACACAAAGGTACGTGCATTACTTATACGAGACTCGCGCTCCCACAAACACTAACTTGAGTATCGGAGTCTCTTTTGCAGATATCACCCCCATCTTGGAACACTAACGTACTCGCGAAGGAGGCTCACCAATCTTACTCGGCAGATCATCTCTACAGCAGATCTCTGGTAAGAACACTAACAAAATTAATTACTGAGTATAAAAAAATAACTAATTTGTATAATAAAATTAAAATTTAGGGACTCAGATATTACAAAAAATATTTTAGGAAATATTGGTCACCTTTAACATCTTTCAGTGATCAAGTCAAATGTTTACTCATTTATAATTTATTTGTTTTTTTTTGTAATGTGCAAGAAGTATATTTTTAATTTGAATTTGTAAAATTGCAATTATAATCATATTGTTGTATTATGTCCGTGCATCATAGCCTGTGAGAATTTTGATGGTTAAGTGAGTACCGTCCTTGAGTGTTTGCAAGAATGAACAATAATTGTTTACCTTTGTGGAGGAGTCATCTTCATTGTACTTATGAGTGTCTATTTTCTAGTAAGGATGTCTACGGGCTCTATTTTATTCCAACTCACATGTATTTGACTTGATATTTCTTCTTGTTGAATTGGTACGCTGTAACATGGCTTTCACCCTGGTTTCTAACATGCAGAAGTCTCAGATTAAGTTGTTCACTAGGCATTTTCTTTGGTGAGGAAAAACTTCTTTAATATGACATTCAGTTAATATTTTTGTTGTTGATATCTGCTAGCTAATCAATCATAGCAGGAAATTTAATTCACTGTTCCCCTGGTGAGTGAAGTACCGTGGAGTGCAGCCATCGAGGACGCTGGCTTTTGAAGAGGGTGGTAATGTAACAAGTCCCATATCGGGAAGGTCTCCTTACCAAGGAGGCCTTATAAGGCGGGAGGTTCTCCAACCTCTTGGGCCGGCTTTTGAGGGATGGTTCCCCTCCTTAGCCTTATGCTCGTTACAATGGTGCTTTCATTGAGAGCCAGCCAAATCGAGAAGGGCTACCCACGGAGGGTTCTGACCATCGGAGGGTTCTGACCGGCAAAAAGGCCGAGTGAAGTACTGGTGAGTGAAGTACCGTGGAGTGCAGCCATCGAGGACGCTGGCTTTTGAAGAGGGTGGTAATGTAACAAGTCCCATATCGGGAAGGTCTCCTTACCAAGGAGGCCTTATAAGGCGGGAGGTTCTCCAACCTCTTGGGCCGGCTTTTGAGGGATGGTTCCCCTCCTTAGCCTTATGCTCGTTACATCCCTTCAAACCATTGGTCTGGTATTAGCAAATTTACTAGTATTTATGTTCACTGTAGTCTAGTTTTAGGTTATGCATGTTTAAGAAGGTGGAAAAATAAGGAGAGTCAGGGAAGTGAAAAATTTTCTCTTAATTTTCTCTTGCATTGAGGTTCTAGTTTAGCCTAGACTGGCATGAAGGTTAGATAAATTTTAGTGCTAGAATGGTGCTGATAGTTAATTTTGTTTTGACATCTGTGCTATGTTGAGTTCTTTCTGAAGGGTATGTAAATTACTAACATACATGATAGTTCCAGGCTTTAAATTAAAGCATTTGTTGTGATCCATTTTCCATGAGTTGTCTAAAACGCTTTGTACTCAATTATTCAACTTTAATTTGTGCCATCTATGTGAATTGTTCACTTTTTACATGATAGTATTGGACTATATAATTAATGAAACTGAAACAATGTGCATGTATATGACAATGCTGGATTATAATATATGAAACACACCCACTCTACCCCTGTCTATAACTTGAATATATTATGCATACTATCAATGAAAAAGTGGGAAATCCATCTGGATGACATATGGAGGCATGATATCGTTGATTTACACATCTTCTTTAGTATCAAGTAAAATTCATGTAGGATACTAGGATCTAATCTATGCTCTATTAAATGGGTTTCATATACATTTTGTAATAATAAAATTGGAAGGTAAGATTTGGATTCAAAAGATGTCACTAACATTTTTTTAACTCAAAATATATTGTGTGTGATTTCAATCTTCAAAGGTATCTGTGTCTATTGTTCTGGTTCACAAGGATCAAAAAGCAAAACAAAGCATTTTTTACCTACCTCGCTTTAGATAGATGTCAAATCTTTTGAAAAAAAAAAAAAAACTTTGGACAGAAAGAAGAACCTGGAAAGCAATAGCTAGGAACCGATTATTTCAGTGCAGACATACTTTACAAAGGGTACAACTGTGTGTCTGTGCGCACAAACAATATATTATATAAAGATTAGTCAAATGTATGGTTTGGTAGCGGTATTGAACCATGTAATAATTTATGGAGGGTAAAATTGAAAAATTAAGGTAGATTATAGCTACTCAGTAACAAAGCAACCATGTGTGGACAACACCTAACAATCAATTCTTGTTAGTCTGGTGACTTTTTCGATCATGCAAAGCACAACCATTAAAGCATTATTATAAGAGCAAATGATTAGCCACGGTTTTGTTATAAAAGAGAAAATACATAAGTTGGCAACATGAAAAGCAAAACCATCGGTTTTCCTTATTTTCATTTGTTTTCTTTTTTTCCTAAGCATCACCAGTGAACCCTTTTATTTTTCTTTTCCAAACATGAAAAGCAAAACCATCTGGTTCTGCATCAGAGGGATAAAAAACAAGAGTAAGGAAAAGAAGGTGGAAGATTTGGGGAGAGTCTCCAATCATGTGAAGCCTGATCACAAGGGAAGAACTAAAGGAAGTGCTTCAACAGTTCCTGTTGGTGATGGTGGTGGTGGTATCAATGTTCATGGAAGCAACACAATTGGTAGCATTGATTCAGGAGTAACTACTGCTGTGGTGGCTGCAACTCATTTGTCTATGATGAGTGTCACTACCAATGAAGGTCAAGATGGAATTAGTCATGATCATGGAGGTGAATCTGGGGCTCATGCTGCTGAGGGTTGATATTTGTTTGGATAAATTTTTTCGGATGTATTACTATAAAAAAAAAATAAAAAAGAAAAAAAATGAACCTTTTTATAATTAAAAATTTAAAATAAACTTATATAAGTTGAAAATAAATTTTTAGTGAAAATAATACGAGAACATTCTTATAAAGTTTATACATAAACTAATTTTAATTTATAGAGAAATTAATTTCATTTTTTCTTCTTATAAGTGCATTCGAAAAAATCTATTGGAGCAAATTCTATGTAATACTCAAATATTTTGTTAACAAGAGAATTCAGATTCAACTCTTGAGATGTTTCTGGTGTCATTCTTTAATTATAACTTTTATAATTTTAATTTTGATCCCAAAAAAATTACAAAAAAATATATTAACAACTGCTTCTAAGTTTTATCTTTCTATAAATTAATGGTTGTCTCCCTCCCTTGCTTTGCATGTTTAATTGTAATGCTTGATTGGTTCCTGTGGATTTGTTTATTATATGTTAGGAGTAAGACTAAGAATCTGGGGAAAACATGGTTTTGCATTGCAATTTCTTGCCTATTTCTCTTTTGTTAGTTTTCTATGGTTGCATTAGATCTCAATTTGGTGGAGCCATAAGTTCCTTATCTACTTTTCACATCAACACTGACAATAATATGAAGCATCTTTCTGATTGGACTTTAAGAATTGGACCTAATTGCTCAAAAATTATTGAGGGTGACATTGTTCTAGGGAGACCATACCATCATTTAGAGATGATTTCAATTGATGTAAAAACATACTGTAAAATTTTCTCAGTGATGCATTAAGAATTACATTCGAGTATTGCTACAGCCTCCGAAAATGGAGGCTGAAAAATATTCCGAATATTAAAAAATTATTATTTTATAATAAATTTTTTATAAAATAATTATTTTATAATAAATTTATTAAAAAATAATAATTTTTTAATTATTCGGACAATTTTTTAGCCTTCATTTTCGGAGGATATACATTACATTTATTATCTTTTAATTTTAACGTTAAATTATACTTTTGATAATTCTAATGTTTATCAATTCATAATTTTAGATATTTAATTTCTCTCTTTAAAATACAAAATTTTAGTTCTATCTATATTTTAATATTTATTAATTATTAAATTTTAATGTTGTTTGATAATTTTTTATTACTTAATCAATATGATATTTAATGGTGTGATATATAGAGATAATTTTTTAAAAAAAAGAACATAAAATTTTTTCATATATATATTAATTTTAAAAAATGATTGGTATTTATTTTATTAATAAATTTTATTTGTATAATTAATTTTTAAAATTATTTTATATCCAAATGTCATATTAATAATTATCATATCACTTTTTTTTAGAAGAAATATCATATCACTTAAGTATAAGTAAACATAAAAACTTAAGAATTAATTGATTTTAATTTCACAAGAGAACCAAAATTCTGTATTTTAAAAATTATGAAAATTAAATATCTTTATTTTAAAGATAGAAAGATCAAATTGTGGATTAACAAAAATAAGGGATCAAAGTGTAATATCACCTAATTTTAAATTTTAAGATATAAATTTGCATGAAAAAATATATAATATGAAGAAGTCAAATTCGATCCGAGTCTTAGCTAATAAAAGCAAAAAGACTTGATTAAATCCGTCACATTTACAAGATTTACTAAATTTCAAACTTTAACTTTTACACTTGAGTTATACTTTTTTTTTAAATATCTTCTAACTTATAAAAATAAAAATAATTGAAAATTTTATTAAATAAAATTATCTTTTGACTTAAAATCTTGATTCTTAGATAATTAGAAATATAGAGATCTAAGTTCAATGCTCATGACTATTTTTATAATATTTTTTATTTAAAAAAAAAAAAGCTTGATTCCTAAACACAAGATCACTTTCATAACAGAATGAAACAAAAATTCAAAATCTTAGAACTTAACTTGGGTCAGCCTAACATATCTCACTAACATTGAGAGGGAAAGA